TGCTGCTTCAGCAGCAGCAGCTGCTGCTGCAGCTGTTGCTAGTGGCAGCTGCTGCTGCACCGGGTACAGCTGCAGCAGCGCCTGTTAGTGGTGCAGCACTAGTGCTGCTGCTGCTCAGTGGACTATTCCCGCTGCTCGGGTGGTGGCTGGGTATCTATTTCTGCTGCTGCAGCAGCAGCAGTTGCAGCAAACATCGCAGCAGCAGCTGCAGCAACAACAGCAAAGTACGCAGGATTACAATGTATGGTTTCGGGAGTCAAAGCTGCTGCAGTATACGGCATTTCAGCTTTCCCTGCTGCGGTTTCCCTGGGGCGCCAGGGACCCCTACGGTTGCTGCTGTTGCGGCAGCAGCAGCAGCAGCAGAAGCTGCAGCTGCTGCTGCTGCAGTTGCTGCAGCAGCCGAAGCAGCAGCACTGCGCCGCTGACATCTATTTAAACACTGCAGCAAAAAGAGCCCCTCAAAACAAACAGCGAGCCCGGCGGGTCTGTTGCTGCAGGTGTGTTTGGCCTCTCAGTGCTGGCAGCAAAAGCTGCTTCAGCACGAGCGCTTCAGGCAGCAGCAGCAGCAGCAGCAGCAGCAGAGTTCGCTGCTGCAGCGGCTGCTGCTGCACCTGGGGTGTCCGACGCTGCAGCGGCGAGTTTGGCCCAGTGCGCGGCTGCTGCGGTGCCGGAAGCAGCATCAGCGAATCCCCCACAAAAGCAGCAGCAGCAGCAGCACGAAACCAAGGCCCTGCTGCTGCTGCTCCGCCGCTGCTGCTGCAGCACCTTGCTGCCGAGAGTGCCTGAGGCCGTTGTGGGGCCTGCCAGCAGCACGGGCAGCCATCTCCTGTGCAACTGCTGCTAAAGCTGGAGCTGCTGATGCTGTTGCGCAGCTGCTGTTGCTGTTGCTGTTGGTGCAGCGGCAGCAACTGCTGCTGCTGGCGCATCGGCAGCTGCTGTTGCTGCTGCTGCTGCTGCTGCAGCAGCCGCAGCAGCTGCTGCTGCGGATCTCCTGTCTCCCCAGTAGGGTGTTTGTTGGTTGCGGGCACCCTACAAAGCAGAGGCGGCCCGCTGCGAAGCCCTGCAGCAGCAGCACTGCAGCAGCGCAGCAGCAGCACTGCAGCGCTGCAGCTGCTGCTGCTGCGACCGGGCCGCCGCAGGAAGCAAGCTCTCTGGAGAGACAAAAGCGCCCCTAGGGTCCCCGAGGTTCCCAGAGGCCCCCCTGGGGCCCCCCGGGCCCCCCTGGGGCCCCCTGGGGCCCCCCGGGGCCCCCCGGGGCCCCCCGGGGCCCCGTTGTTACATGGGGGGCCTGAGGCTGGGGCTGTGCATTGGGGGGGCCTTTCCTGGGACGGCCATCATGGGGGCCCCCCCCAAGACGCTGGGTCTGTTGGTGACGGGGAGGCCCCTGCCCATGGGGGGCATCATGGGGCCCGCGGGGAGGGGGCCCCCCGGGAGGGGCCCCCCTGGGAGGGGCCCCCCTGGGAGAGGCGCCCCCATGGGTCCGGCCATGGGCCCGGGGAGCATGGGGCCCCTGGCCATGGGCCCGCCTAGAGGGGCCCCGCCCATCTGGGGCATTCCGGGGGCCCCGACGAGGGGGGGCCCCCCCAAGAGGGGCCCCCCCTGGAGGAGCCCCGGGGGCATGGCGGGGGGCCCCAGGAGTCCCGGGGCGAATGCGTCGGGGCCCCCCGCGGCCTCGAGGAGGGCCTGCCTCTTGAGGAGCTCCTTGGCCCTCCTTTCCGCAGCCCTGTCCAGCAGCTCAGCAGCAAGAGCAGCAGCAGCAGCAGCAAAGTAGAGTCCTGCTGCTGCAGCAAGCAGGTAGAAGCCCGTGGAGAGCCGCGGCAGCGGGAACTGCTGCGAAAGCACTATCATGTTCCAGCAAGTGGCCGTTTCCCACAGCCAATAGCCCCCCACGCTGCAGCAAAGGAGGCCCCCCAAGCAGCAGCAGCCCACGGCCAAGTAGGCCATTTTGCCGAAGAGAAAAAACCACCCCACAGCCAGCAGCGCGAGGGCCCCCCCCAGCGCTGCTGCCCCCAGCAGCAAAGTGCTCACGCTGGCCAGCCTGCGGTAGCAGGCCAGTCTAGTAGTTAAGGCGTCCTGGCAAGCAGCAGGACACTGGGCGGCCCAGGCCTGGTACTGTGCTGCTGCAGTTTGCTGCTGCCCCAGCCGCACGGCGTTGGCCACGGCCTCGCTGCTGCTGCTGAGCCGCTGCGCCCAAGACAGCAGCGAGCGGCCCCCGTCGAAGGAGATGTTGTAGAGGCCCCACGAGGTCCCCTGGTAGCCCTGGTGCTTCTCCTGGCTGCGAAACATATACCTGTAGTCCACGGCGTCGCTCACGCGCCACTCGGGGATGCAGAGAGCGCCCACGCTCACGGCCGCGCCCGCGAGCGCGAGCGCCCACACGACGTGCCACAGGGGGCCCGTCCGCTCCTCCACCTCAGGGTCTTTTGGCTTCGACCGACGACGCCCGCCGGACCCCATTGCTGCTGCTGCTGCTGCTGCTGCTGCTGCGAAGGAGGAGGAG